CCCGCGCCCATCGCGGGGCCGGTACCGGTGCCGGTGCCGCGCTCGGGGCCGCAGGGCGGTGGTGTCGCCCTGGCCGGCGAGGCGGGGGCCGGCGGCGATGCCCGCGTCCCCGCAGGGCCACGGCGGCACCGCCATCCCCGGGACGCGGCCTCCGCGGACGCGGCGCTGCCTGGAAGGGCCTTTTTTATCCCATTGCAGCTCGCCGCTCCAGTTAAAGTGAGATAAACAGCGGAGTTCAGGCTTAGCCGGCACTGGGGGCGCGTTGTTCGATGCAGGAATAGGTCTCGCTCTTGCAGGCAGTAGTTGCTCCTTCCTTGCCAAGGCCTGTCCCCTTCCTTTCCCCCGGGACACGTGGGGGTTCCTGTCTGCCTCCCACCGGGGTATTTAACTCTCCTCTCAGCTGAGCTCAGGTTTTATTGAATATCGATGCTTATGCGCAACGAGGACTGAAGCTCCTTGAGCAAAAATCCAGTCTCGTGTCAAGGAAAATGCATCGGGGACAGGAGACTCATCTTCTCAGCGCCKCCCTTCTCCGGTGCCGTGAGCTGCAGGGCGCGAGGAAGGGGTTTGGTGCTTTACCAGGGAGGCTGCGTTGTGATCGGGCTGTGCTGCCCTTGCCTCTCACAGCTGTAGAACCTCCCTCGATAGCTTTGGAGTCCCTCGCTTAGCAGAAGGACCAGTAAATGTGTTTATCCCGCGGAAGCTGGGCCTGGCAGGGGATCGAGAGCTTCCAGAGGGGAGCATTTTAGACAGACCATGTCCTCTCTGCCGTTTGGAGAAGCCTTGTGTGAAAGCATCTGGAAAGGCCTGCTTAGGAGCTCCTGTCCCTTTCTGATGGTGCTTTCTGTGCTCGAGAACTGCCCAGGTTTTCCCGAGAGTTGACCTGAGCTGTCTTCTTCCTTGCAGAGCCTGCTGCTCCGTGGGCCGTGTTCCTCGTCCGTGTGAGCCCCTCGCAGCCGGGACCAAGAAGGGCCTCCGCTTGCTTCTGCCTTCCTTAGTTCAACGCGAAGAAGAGAAGAGCAGCAAACGCAGCGACTGGTCCACAGAGAGCGGCTGCTGATCTAAGGAAGAGCCTGTGGCCTCTCGTCTCCCTCCTGCCTCTCGAGGTCTGGCCACAGGCTGGATTTCCTGCTCTCGGCTTCAGGATCAGCACGAGAGAATCAGGCTCTTGGCTCGTTTTGATCTGTCCTTTTCACTCAAACCTTTGCAACCGAGAAGCTGAAGCTGTCCCTGCTCCTCCCTGCTCCACCGCCGTTTCTTTTCCCCCAAGCATGTCAGAAAGCTGGCAGCAGCCGCCGCAGCAACCGCAGCAGGCGCCGCCGCCGCCGCCGCAGCACCACGGCGGCACCGCGGCGCTGCCGGAGCACTCGCTGCCGCCCAGCACTGCCGAGAACGCGCTGGGCTGCGCYGTGTACGGCATCCTGCTGCAGCCAGAGCCCAGCCTGCAGCACCACCAGCACGCGGCCCTGCAGGCCGGGGAGCCGGCCCACAAATGCGGCGTGTGCGGCCACGACCTCGCGCACCTCTCCAACCCCCACGAGCACCAGTGCTTGCCGGGCCATGACCGCTCCTTCCAGTGCACGCAGTGCCTGAAGATCTTCCACCAGGCCACCGACCTCCTGGAGCACCAGTGCATCCAAGTGGAGCAGAAGCCTTTTGTGTGCGGCGTGTGCAAGATGGGCTTTTCCCTCCTCACTTCGCTGGCGCAGCACCACAACGTCCACAACGGCAATGCCATGAAGTGCTCTATCTGCGAGAAGACCTACAAGCCTCCCGAGGCAGAGCCCTCGCAGCCTCTYGATGCCTCGGAGAAGCCCTACAGCTGCTCCATCTGCCAGAAGACCTTCAAGCACCTGTCGGAGCTCTCGCGCCACGAGCGCATCCACACGGGGGAGAAGCCCTACAAGTGCACGCTGTGCGACAAGAGCTTCAGCCAGTCGTCCCACCTGGTGCACCACAAGCGCACGCACAGCTCGGAGCGGCCCTACAAGTGCACGGTGTGCGAGAAGACCTTCAAGCACCGCTCGCACCTGGTGCGCCACATGTACGCGCACTCGGGGGAGCACCTCTTCAAGTGCAACGTCTGCGAGCTGCACTTCAAGGAGTCCTCGGAGCTGCTGCAGCACCCCTGCACGCCAAGTGGCGAGCGGCCCTTCCGCTGCGGCGAGTGCCAGAAGGCCTTCAAGCGCCCCTCGGACCTGCGGCAGCACGAGCGCACGCACAGCGAGGAGCGGCCCTTCAAGTGCGACCTGTGCCACATGAGCTTCAAGCAGCAGTACGCGCTCATGCGCCACCGGCGCACGCACAAGGCCGAGGAGCCCTTCAAGTGCAACCTGTGCGAGAAGGGCTTCGTGCAGCCCTCGCACCTGGTCTACCACCAGCACGTGCACGGCATCGAGAACCTCTTCAAGTGCAACGTGTGCCAGAAGGGCTTCAACCAGTCCTCGGAGCTGCTGCGGCACAAGTGCGTGCAGAATGCGGAGCGGCCCTTCAAGTGCGCCGTGTGCAACAAGTCCTACAAGCGCGCCTCGGCCCTGCAGAAGCACCAGCTGGCCCACTGCGCCGAGAAGCCCCTCAAGTGCACGCTCTGTGAGAGACGTTTCTTCTCCTCCTCCGAGTTCGTGCAGCACCGCTGCGACCCGGCCCGCGAGAAGCCCCTCAAGTGCCCCGACTGTGAAAAGCGCTTCAAGTACGCCTCGGACCTGCAGCGGCACCGGCGCGTGCACACGGGCGAGAAGCCCTACAAGTGCCCCTCTTGCGAGAAGGCCTTCAAGCAGCGCGAGCACCTCAACAAGCACCACAGCGTGCACGCCCGGGAGCAGCAGTACAAGTGCATGTGGTGCGGCGAGCGCTTCCTGGACCTGGGGCTGCTGCAGGAGCACAGCGTGCAGCACACGGCCGAGGGCGCCTACCAGGTGGCTGCCTGCTTGCCCTGAGCCTCGCGCCCGGCAGCAGCTGCCGACTTGCATGGGACGCTCCTGGGCCTCRGCCTCCCCTTCCTCCTCCTCGCTTGTAGGTGGCCTCCAGGGAATCGTGGCAGAACGGGGAGGTCAGGCGGGCAGTTGGGGCACCCCTCCGCTGGCCTCTGTGGTTCATGTGCCACCTGCGTGCCAGGGCTGACAGATCATGGGAAAAACTTGATGGGGAGGGAGAGCGAAGGAGGGAGGTGAGGAGAGGAGGTGACGCCTGTAGTTGCCTATTGTCCCCTGGACTGTAATTCACGTTGTAGCAGCAGCTCCGGGGCTGAGAGCTGGCCCATCTCTGCCCACATGCCCTTCACACGGGCCCTCTATCCACTGTSCTGCCTAGCAAGGTGAGGAGGGAGAGCTGGGAGCCCTCCTCGTGGAGAGGGATCGGGGCAGCGCCAGCCCTCCCCTCTCCCTGGCTGTGCTGCTCAGTGATGCAGTAGAAGGTTCCCGGGGCTGGGATCCCCCAGCCCCATCGCTCCGCGTCCCYTTGAGCAACTCGGGAGGACCCTTTTGGGTCTGTGGTGCTGACTGWCTACCCCGAGCTCCCGTGCTCTCCCCGGAGCCTAGGAAGGGCCAAGCCACGGGGCTGCGCGGGCCCGTGCACACTTTGGCCTCRCTGCTTTGGCAGCGGCGCTCGGCGAGGGTCTCGAGCGAGCCTGCCCAGCGCCCCCCATGTCTGGCAGTGTGGGCAGCGGCGCAGGGAGGGTCTCCGTGCTGTGCTCCGGGCTTCACTGCCCGCTTTTCTCGAGGCCTGGCTCTGCCCAAGGCTGCCCTGGCAGCCCTCGCCCCTGGCGCTGCTTGCGCCTGCCTCCGGGCGCGCTCAAGTGGGCGGATGCGGCAGCAGCTCAACACTAACGCGCGAGGCAAACACTACTGCTCCCTGCAGCTTCCGAAAGGAGCTCGGCTGCCGGCACCGCCGACCTGGGGCTCAGGCCTCGCTTGCTGGAGCAAAAGAGTGTCCGGAGCGAGCAGGGAAGGAGCCTTTGTGGCCTACGGGCTCCGCGCCGGGTGAAGGGGAAGGCTGGCAGGAGCTGAGGAAGGAGCATATTTTCCCCTCCACTCTTAGGAGAGTCCCTTTCCACCTCTCTGCTCTTTCTTTATTCTGTATTTTTTCAGGTTTTGCAAGTTCCCGTAAGCAAACATCCTCCCCTTTGCGTAAGCGAACGCCGTCCCCTTAGCAAGATTGGTGCAGCGGCCGGGTCTTCCTCTGCAGAATTTGTGGTCTTCTCCTGCCCAAGAGCCTTTTACGTGCCAGCTAGATGCCTTCCAGGTTGCAGGAGCTTAACCAAGTTGCCCCCCAGCCTTCCCTTCTCCATCTTTGCCGGCCCTCCGTTGAGTTGGGAGCCTCCTGACTCCTTTTGGCTTCTCCAATAAACGTCCCCAGCAAACGCAGGCAGATGAACCTCGCGGAGTGTCGGGCTGGGCCTGCTTTGCTCGATGCGGACGCCGACCCGGCAGCGGGAGGAAGGTTTTTAGTCGCCCTTTCCAGCAGTGCCCGGAGGAGCCGCGTGTTTCCGCAGCCACCTAGCAGCTCAGGGCCCCGTGCGACCCCGCGGCTGGGGCTCCTTCACGTGCAGCTTTAGGGAGTTTAACATAAACCTCCCTTTCTGCTGCCCGAGGAGGAGGGACCGACACTCATCTTACTCTACACTGCCTAAAGATGCAGAACTTCCTACTAAGTTTTTTTCTGACTGCGTTTTTTTTTTTTGCCTTTTTTTTTGCCTTTTTTAAGCAGTTCGTTAATATTCATTAAAAAAAATCCTGTATAGTTTAACTTGATGTCATATTGGATTTTTTTTTCTTGAGAGAGAGAGAGAGAGGGATGTCGTAACCTGGATGTTTAAAGCCCTCCCCGCTCTAGGTRGCTGGTTGTTGATGTTTGCTGCATAGCGAGCTCGGCGCGTGCTCCACAACAGGCCTGCGAGCAGCTGCAGAGCGAGGAGAGGCAGCCCGGGCTGTGCGGCGCTCCGAGGGACCCAGCCTGCCCATCTGTGTCCCCAAAGCCGGCGCCTCCGTGAGCACCAGGCTGTGCAGGGGCACCAAGCTGGGCCGTGCTGACTTGGTCTCCTCGTCTCTTTTTGCTGCCCTACAACAGCACGAATCCAGGAAAGTTTTTGTGGTCAAGAGGCTGGCGGGGACGGTGCCTGTCCCCAGACCTCTGTGTGAGCGGGTGATGTCCCTACATCGCGTTGGTGGGTGCAGGAGCATTCCCCAATGTCCCTGTGTGGAACGTGAGCTCCTCGGTGCCACCGGTAGCCTCGATTGCATTTTTATAAGGAGATTGTTTAGTTGTAATCAGCTTTGTTTGGTACAGTTGAGCCGGGGAGCGGGTTGGTCTCTTGCGGTGCCTTCGGGATGYGTTGGCAGGAGAAGAGATGAAAGCGGCAGGAGGCCTGTGAGCATCCAAGTGAAGAGGGGCAGACGTTCCCAGGGTGTCGCACTGCGAGGGACTCCCTCTTAGCTGTTGGTGTTTCCTTTTTGGACCAAAGAGTGGCTGTGGCTTAAGTGTGACCCTCATCAACCCCGTGGTACCTTACAGAGTCACCATGGTGGGCCTGGTTTTGAATCAGCCCCCAGCAAGGGACTCGGTGCCTGTGGGTGTCCCTGAGGGCTAGATGCTCTCCAGGGCTGAAGCAGGGAATGACCCTTCCTGATGGGCTCTTCTCTTCTTCTGGCTTTTCTGATTGGGGAAGCAGGTGGTTTSAACCTGGGATCCTGTTAGGAAGGTGAGAGGGAAGGGGACTAGGTTGGCCCAGGCTCCTTGGAGGCYGTCCAGGAGGTGCATCCTGCTCTCTGCTGGCTCCCAGGAGGAAGGTGCTCTCTTCTTCATGGGGCTTTTCAGCAACCTTCTCTCCTCCTTGCACCTACTGGATGCCTCTATCCATGTCCCGTTTCCTTCCCCTCCACAGTTATTTTGCTTATATTTTTGTAAGACCTTCTAGGCTTCCTGGCCSTCAGTTGGGTTCCTCATCAACAGCACTTTCTTTCCATCCCTTCACCGTTTTGACAGCTCATCTCTGCGAGATCTCTTCCCCCATCTCCTTCACCTCAGGTTCCTCTCTCAGGCAGAGGCCGGTTCTGGGAGCTATGGGACATATCCGATAACCAAGTTGGATGTTTTGGGTCCTTCCTTGCCCTGAGCCTCCTGGCTGACTCACTGGCCTTGTGTGATGCTGGGAATGCCACACTCTGGGCCTTCTCGGTCGCATCTGGAGTTGGGGCAAGCTGGTCTGAGCCAGGATCCTATCACTTTGGCCATTTCCATCACGTTCCCAAGGCTGGGGATGAAGTTGGCCTGGGGCTATCCAGTGTTCTTGGGGATGAGCTGCTGTCTGGACGCTGCATCACCTGGGAATGCCTGTTGGGCTGCGTGGCAGCTCGCACACAGCTAACCCCAGTGTGGAGGCCCTTGGCATTGCAGGTAGGTTCCAGCTGCCCCAGGAGGCATCGTGCAGGTGGCCACTGCTGCAACTGGGATGGAAACTGCTCCTCTCTTAGGGCCGTGTGCCAGAGAGTTGAGGGGCAAGGGGAAAAGCATCCCCAGAGAGTGGCATGGGACCATCTCCTGCAGCCCAAGTCTAGCCTCACACTGGGGCGAGGAGAGCACTTCCGACAATTTCTTGGGGTCATTTTGGGACATTTAGCTTCAATTCAGGCTGCAGCCAGAGCCTGGACAAAGCGAAATTACCCGGAGGTCGTTGGTGCCCTTCAGGGTGCTGGGTGGTGGGTAACGTCTCAGGACGGAGGCCGCGCCTGCGCGCGTTCCCTTGAGACGCAGTAACAATGAGGCAAGAGGAGGCCGACGGGGGGACCCGAAGCCACGAGGGCTTCTCTCTTGATGCCACCCGAATGCTTTGGGGGCCACATCTCCACTGCTGGGGTGTCCCGGTGACAGGGACCTCGCTGCAGCCCTTGGCTCCCGGCGCCTCCTTGGCCCAGTGCCTGGGGCAAGCTGGGGCCAAGGAGGAGGCTGGTGTGGCTTGCGGTGCCTTTAACACTGCTCCCCGTGGGCTTCTCTCGTGATATCCCACGTCTGGGTGTACATATGTTGTATTAACACAGCCCGCTCTTCTGTGTGAGTGTCAAATGGGTTTGCTTTACTAATAAATTTATAGTTATTTATACCTTCCTGTGGGCGTCTCACGGTTTCTGGAGCGGGGGCCTTGCCCGCCCTGYGCACGTGGGTGGCTCTGGCTCTGTTTGCTTTTCAGCTTTATTGACCAAGGGGTTTATTTAGTCAGCCGCTTTAGTCGGGTGCGCTGGCCTGGTCCCCGGCGCTCTGCTGCTTAACGCCAGGGCTGCAGGTAGCGCGAGCGGCTGCGGGCGAGCGGGGAGCGCGTCCCTGCGCCGCCCCGCGCGGCCCTGTGCCGCCCTGCATGCCCCTGTGCTGCCCTGCATGCCCCAGCGCTCACCTGTAGGCCGGGCCGAAGCTCCTGAACACATCGCTGCCGAGGAAGAGGAGGAGGGAAAAGGCTGAGCGGTGGCGGCGCGGACTTGGTTGTGATCGCGGGGACCGCCAKGGCTACCTACTAGGTGCTCTGCGGCTGAGGCTTGGGGCCGTATCGGTGCAGGCTGGGGTCTTCTTGGAGGCAGTCCTTAAAGGGCACGGCAAAGGGTGACGTTGGGGACACTGGTGGCACAAGCCTGGTGCCCCAAAGCGTGGCCGTCTCCCCCCTCACCCGCCACGTCTGCGTGACCTCCGGCCGCAGGGCCCGGCCCACGTAGCTGCTGCGCCTGGGCCCTGTGGGGAGAGAGCGGCCGGCGGGGATTCTGTCATTCCGAGCAGCCAGCACYCCGCTCCAGAGTGAGCGCGCTCTGTGCTGTCCAAGCCGCCGTCAGGGGAGGCTGCAAAACCGTCCGCACCTGTGCCAGGCACCACCGGCGCTGCAGCCGCCGAGACGAAGAGGGGCCAGGCCTCGGCCACCTGCGTGTAGCTGGGCCACCCTTGTGCCGGCAGCCCCGGGCTCGCCATGTCCCTCGGGGCGAGCGGGGGCCAGCGATGCAGCAGCGCCTGCGTGGAGAGAGCAGGGGGGCTGYGACGCGGGAGCCCCGGGGGACAGCGCTGCCCAAGGTCCCCCAGCCCGGCCGCCTCACCAGGCTGGGCAGAGGGGGCCAGGGCACGGGGGGCAGCACGAAGGAGGAGGCTCTGGCGAAGTCCTCTGTGGGGAGCAGAGCAGGGCTGTGAGCGAGCGGCCGCCCGCGGGTGCCGCGGCGCGGCGCAGCGCACGGGTGCTTGGCGGCGTTACCGCGCGTGCAGCGGGTGCTGGTCCTGGCGTGGCGCTCCGGGAGCCTGCAGGCGGCTGTGTCCATGTCCATGCGGCGGAGCGTGGGCAGCCGCGGGTGGTAGAGATCCTCCTTCACGGCCGCCAGCCGGCGCAGGCCGGGCACAGGCTGCGCATGGCCTGCAGGCCAGGCCGGGCGCCATGRCGGTGGGCACGGGGACCCCCCGGGAGAGGCCTGATGCCACGGGGATGGGCAGAGGGACCCTCCGGTGACCGGGGGACCCCTCAGTGTAGAGCTTGCCGGCCTGGCCAACAACAGCTCCCACTGGGCYCGGCACTCAGGGCCCCAAGTCTGCATCTCTCAATGGCGCTTCCCGGCCGCGACGGGAGGGTGGGAAGGAGGAGGAAGGCCCTGGTGCTGGGTCCCACTGTTCCGTTGGCTGTCCTGTCCCTTCCCCATGGCAACGCGGGCGCCAGGTGCCCTGTGCTGCCGGAACGTCCCCAGCCACCTGGTCCCATCTGGCYGAGGACGCTGCTCAGCCCCACGGCACCCCAGGGTGCCACCTCGTGCCTTGCCCGCGTCCCCGCGTCCCCTCAGCAGGGATTGGGGCCAGCGGGGCTGCCGCTAACCGGATCAAGCGAGGGCAGGATTAGCTCGYTGCCTCCTGCCCCAGAGCGCCGCGCGCCAGGGGACAGGGCGCCCGCTGCCCACTGGCTCCCCGCGCCGTCGCCCTCCGAGGACCTCGCGCCAGCGGCCACTTCTGCAGTGTGAGTAGCACAGGGCAGCGGGGCGGCTTTGGGGCTGCAGGCACGTGGTGGCCCTCACCTGCAGGGTCAACCCCCGTCCCAGGGTGCTTGGCAGCACCCATGGGGACAAATTCAACACTTCTTGCCCAGTGCCCATCCTCAGGATGAATCTTTCCACGTGTCCCCTTCTCCTGTGCCCTGCATGCCCCAGCTCCAGCACCCATGTCCTTCCCGCACCAAGGGCACCCTTAAGCTGTGGGATTTTGCAGCTGCGCAAGCGGCGGATCCGGGCCAGGGAAGGAGCCGGCTCTTGCCGCAGGGGACTTGCCCAGGGAGGCTTTAATCCCGTTTTCCCCCTGTAATCCGTGCAAGAGCTGCCGGCAACCCGAAGTGCAGTGAGAAGGGTGGGGGGAACCGTTGCATCCCGTCTGCTGTGCCCCGGGTGCTGTGGCTCTTTTGAGCTCCTTAATCGCACGCACCCGTCTACAGTTTCCCAATCCTGGGGCCAGTGGCGAGGAGATCCAGGTTTGTGTCGCGGGGGAAGCAAGCCCCAAGCGTGCTCCAAAGGGTGCTGCGCCCTCAAGGAGCTTCCTCCTTCCTGCAGACAGCGGCGGGATGCTGGCCTGGATYGAGCGCGTGGTGCCGCAGCCTCCTGAGCCCCCCGCCACCGGCACGGAGCAGAGCCCGGCGCCCCGGGGCCACCAYGCGGAGCCGGCCCAGGTGAGCGAGCCGG